ATTCTATTATTATTTTATTATTATTAACTGAAGTGCTGCATTAATATCTATTTCTTACCATTAACAGAAAAGTTATTCTGTTAATAATAATTACGATATATATGTAATTTTTTTAAGAGACACTTTATTGGGGAACAGTATGTTTTTCCAGGACCCATCAGCGTCAAGTCAAGTAGTTGTTTCAATCTATTGTAGTTGTGGAGGGCGCAACTCAGTGGCCCATGTGAGGATCGAACTGGAAAACTTTGGTGTTATGAGCACTGCACTCTAACCAACTGAGCTAACTGGCCGCCCCTATATATTTTTTTAAAGTATTCATTCCATTTGTCATTCTTTCCTACCATTTTCTATTCCTTTGGGTATGTCACAGAGAACTATGTATCCTATAATCCTCTATATTCATTACTTAACCTTACCAGAAACTTCTGAAGTGGTTAAGACAGTAGCCCAATGACCTATACTTCTGAGCTGTTCAGAGACATGCCCACTCCACATGTTTCATTACCCCCTAAGTTAATCAAATATGTACGCTCCAAATTTTCCTTACCTGCATTCCAGAGACAGGGAGATTAGGAACAATGATGATGTTTTTTATTTACTCTATTACAGGACGGAGTCAAGAACTTTGCAGCTGTCACCTCCAATCCAGGAGAAACTCTGTCTAGAGGTGGGTGTAATTTTTCCAGTTTGAACCATCCATGGGAACACTGTGGAGATTCCTGCACACCTTAATTGGTTTTCTGTTTCAACATCATTTTAAATGTATGTCTTATTACAGATGGCAACACATACTATTGATTAGGGATCAGTTTTTTAGTTTCAAGATGCTATGTGAAAATACTGAAATAAGTATCATATCCCCGTCTAGCCCAAGTATAAAACTTAAGAACATATGTCATTTGCTTTTAGTTAGATACATTCAGCTTATGCAGTTAATCACAGTGTTTACTAAAAGAGGCAGAATGAGGATTTTTTATTATAGTTATTAAAAATAATCTATTTTTAAATAATTGCCAGTTATGTGAAAATTTAAAGCCTTCTTTCAAAATTGACTGCAAACATACTTTAAGACAGTAATAATGTATAAACTAAATTGTAATGTTTTTTACGTCATTATAAAGGTTTAAAACTTTTTCTCTTATTGTTTAAATAAAAGTGTGAGTTTTTATGAGCTATGTTGAAAAGTAATCTCTTCCACAGGGTTCAGAATATACTATGTTTATAAAATTCCTTAGACATATATTTTACTAAATCTGCTAAATTCTGTTTAATTTATACATTGTGAATAGTACATTTGTTTAATTTACTGAAAAATCATTAAACTCTTAAGTGAAATAATGCTTTATTTAAAAAGGCACCACAGGCTTTTTTCATTTATTATGTAAATGATGGTTTTTGCATGTTTTTCTTATGTTAAAAATGAATATATTAATCCAGTCTGTCCCCATTTCTCAAATAAAGTTGTAAGTGCTTTTTGAGAACTGATAATCCATTGTTTAACCATCTTTTAGAACTTAACTCCTGAATGTTCTAACATCGGACTATGAAATAAGGCAGAATTCAAAGGTATTTTATGGTCTTCATGATAATCTAGAATTTTTATTTGATTCCAGGTAACTTTGGACAATAAGCATGATGGGATGTTTTCTCTTTTGTAATTAACAATTTATAACAATTAATTTTGTAAATAACAATTTAATTACATCATTGAAATAAAATATAGTGTGGGCTTAATACATTGTAAATATTACAGAAGTACTACTTTGCTATAGTAATTTAATGACTGAAGCTACATTGAATAACAATCTTACTAGTACTTGTGTACAAAGTATTATACAGATTACTAACGAACAAATTGCAGCGGTTGCAAGGATGTTACCAGCTCAACAAACATCTAACAATACAATATTCTTCTAAGAGGAAAAGTAATAATGAGGATTTACAGACAATAAATAGTTATGTTTTCCACTTGAAACATTGGAAGTAAGAATCCAGATAGTCTGGTTATCTTGATTTATATTATTACAAGAAAAGGTTTCCTTTCTTGGGGACTCCAATCCCCAGCAGGCCTAGTACACTAAGTTTACGTGAAGATAGCTTTCAGGACGCTACAGCAATATAAAGAAACTCTTCTATCTGAAAATTACCAATTTGTAGGCCACTGCTTAAACATCTGACCTTTTTTAAAACCTATTTACATACATTCAGCCCAAATCAGTAGATAAAATGTTCTGTATATATTACAATAGGCATTAGTAACATTTCATCAGAAGGCCAGTGCAAGACAATTGTTAATAGCCATTGCCCAGCATTTAGATTTTAAAATATCATACAAATATACAGTTTGATTGTGAAAAATCTGATTTTGTGCATGACATTGGTGGTCTCTTTTACAGACATGGAATGGCATAAATTAATCAACAGGACAGTAACTAGAGTGCTACTCCTCCAGGGCCTAATTCTCATCTGGTGGTTGGGCCTATTTCCTGCAGGGTGAGTTTCAGTGGCCAAAATTCCTGGACACTTAATGCCAGATAGACTTCACTCGAAGTGATTGGGGGAGCTTGGGAATCATATCATGTGTAGGCATATGTCTGCAGCTTCTCCCAGATCCATGTGTCTTTTATATATATCTCATACGTAATGGAAAATTAGAGGTTCTTGGAGACAGCACTCCTTGTCGAAACAAAACTGTTATTCTAGAACTGAAAGATTCATCATTACTCTAAAGAAATTGAGCAGGTTGGAAATTTGGCCCTTTCTGAAGACATATGTGATGGTGAAATGCATGGTCAGGACAAATATACTACCCTCAGAGGAAAGACGATAACTCTGAAATCCAATCTTATAAAATTTATTAAAATCTAAATAATATTTAAATTAATGTGTCTCATTAAGGGGCTAATTAATGAAAGATACTAATAAATGATAACTCTAATGAGTATATTCATGGGGAGAACATTTGAGAAATTTGGGTTAGGAAATGGTATTAAAAGCATCAAAGTAAATCAAACTAAATTTAAACGTTTTCAAATGAAGGTGGTGTATAACATACATGATGATATTTCACAGATATTTCTTAGAATATCAATAAGCACCAAGTTTAGTGCTATCAGCCCCATGGTCCCTTAATTTACTATATATGATTTAGATATTGCAAGCACAACACACTATAAAATCTACATTGCATACACACAAATACAGTTTCAAAACTGAATCCTGGAGTTTTTCTA